GAGTCTTCAACGGAATCCCAGCCAAACCATGGGCAAAACTTCTTCTCGCTTTTATTTTGTTTTTCCCCCTCAATTTTAAGATTTTCCATACACACTCTGGGCGTGAAATTATACAGTACAGTTTATAAAAATTGAATCGGAAGCCTTCGCAATTTTTGAAGTCGGAAACATATGTAGGGCAGTACATGGTGAGTCATTGATGACGCGTATATGCTGCGGTTAAATTTTCGCAAAATTGCACAAAAATATTAAGAACAAATTGAGATACAGATTCAGAATATCGTAGACAAACATCAAAGAATCGTGCCTGTGATTTTGAAAGAAATCCTCCAGCTTGTACAACACGTACACGTCTCCGGTCCAGGGCTCGTCCACCAACACTTGGAACCCGATCCAACATTCGCAGTCCGTCGCACTCGGATCCTTGGGTTCGTTTCCTGTTTACGCAGGTAGAGCCCTGAGCGTCAGGCACATCAGGTTGAGCTTCCAGAAGTGAAACCTTAACTTTTCGCGCTACTAACTTGGTTTCCGGTCCTTCTACTTCCTCTGACGCTTCTTATTCCCAATCACTGTGCCGGCATTCATGATGGGCTTCCAAGACGGCATTCGTTGTTGGAAAACTGCGTGTCTCGGCGGTCTTCTCATGCTTCTTTCCATACCAGCTCTCATATTTTCCTGATGCTGTTTTTCTTCTATAATAAGGAATCCACGAGATTAAATTCACTCTGCATCTGCTGGTAGTTTGGGATTAAATCAGAAGTAAAAATTCAGTAATAACACATACAAGATACAGAATAACGTGCATATGGGACTTTCTTACAAGGGTCTACAACCAATTGACCCATTTTCAGCAAATTCTGATTATTTTTGCAAAATGTTGTGCCCATGAGCACTGGATATTGAAGAAGTCATATTTTTGGACCAAGGCCTAAGTTGGGAAAAAGTACAACATTCTTTTATAATCCAGCAGATAATTTTGCCTGGAAAAAAATCCTCACTGGGTGGCATTTTTCCAGCATTCCTGTCATAGGATTGACATCGCAGTTTCTCAAGACAATATGATATTCTTTTCCCAGATTTTTTCTGACTTTGGCATTCCCAACCTGGGGGAATTTCAGTGGCCTTTGGTCAAACTGAAACATATCTCCCCCAAGGAAAGTAATGACTCTAGTACAGGATAAAAAAGGAATCCTCTGCCATCCAGGGTTTATCTGACTTTGGCATTCCCAACCTGGGGGAATTTCAGTGGCCTTTGGTCAAACTGAAACATATCTCCCCCAAGGAAAGTAATGACTCTAGTACAGGATAAAAAAGGAATCCTCTGCCATCCAGGGTTTAACATTTTCAGCAGCTTTACATTATTCATGCAACTGTTATTGAAATTTAAGAATTGTGGGTTCCCAAATCCATTTCTGATCTCAGGACAATTTGAAATACACCTTCAGTTACACATGTAGGTGGACACTCTCTACAATGAACTTGTCTACAGGGATTTTTTCTGCATAACAATTTTTGTGGTCCCCCCTCCCCCAAAATCATAAGGGGTTCTCTAACAACAAAATTCTCCCCAAACTGAATTCGACAATAATATGTAACATATTGCTGATACCCAAAGTGGTACCAAAACAAAGGGGAGTCCATAAATAGATGCTGCTTCTGAGCTAAACTACATTTGGACCTTCCCAAGTCAAAACTGCATAAGTTTAAAACCTTCATAAAACAGTACAGTATATCAAAGTTGTTTCCTGGCCAATTTTCTCAAGTCGAATGCAATTTAAACTCTTCAATTTCAAAACTTGTTGGTTCAAACCTTGCTTAGTTGAACTTGTAGGGGTATTTTTGTCATGAAATTGTAGCTAATGTTTGAAAACCTTGTCGCAGAGAACTATTAAAAAATACCAATTATAGTAAATAATTAATAATTTACACAAGGAATTAAAAATCTTGGGATCCTGTAGTAATTTACTTACTTGTCAAGATTGTTAGACCAGTCCTTTATTAAAGTTAACTAATTCGATTGGTCTAATCGTCTTCAAACTAACATTTGGACACGACTAATCAAGACGAACGTTTCTTGTAATTCGTCTTTGAAATAGATTTGGAATGTATCAAAAACCTACAAATACGAGAGCTCCATAAAATACATCCAATAATGCTGCCCATTTGAAAATCGGCAGCCTCCTGCAAATAAGCATAAACCCTCGACTTAACAATAAAGAGTTTCAAATTTTCAGGAAGAAAATACAGATTACCGACGTGAGGTTCTGTTCAAAATATGTTCCGTATATGTCATTGTATCAACAATCCTGGAGGTACTCATTGACATGATAAAAAGGCGGGCAAACAAACCATAAATAAATAAATACCTCCGCAACAACAACAAAAACACGCAATACAACACTAACAAACAAAACAAAACGTCAACGAAAAAACGAACTTATCACTTGATCCCGTAAAATCGATTTTTGTGTCCATGAAAAAAAAAAGAGGAAACGCCGAAACTTCTCTGTTTTCTTCTTTGACGAACGCGTCAGCTGGAGAATGAACACGGAAACTTGTTCTTTCCCTTCACCGTATTCGTCGAATTCCTCGTCGACAACTGTTTCCGGAAATCGTCGTAAGCAGAGAAATTTAGACACACGTTCATGGATTCATGTCAGTTTCTTGTCCTTCTCGTTTCCTGTCTTTTCTTCGTCCAATTCTTGGGTTTCGAGTTCATGATGGCGAGTGGAAGCGTTGGATCGAGACTGCGACGACGCTTCGCAGCAGGATCGTGTTCATTGGTATTGGTTGAATCTGAAACAAAAAAATTTGTCATCATTCTAAAATAAACACATTGGCAAATACTGTAGTTGGAGAATAAAAGCATTATTCGCATCAATGGTAATGGGCAAAGACTGTGAAAATACTAGACGTCCTGAGGAATCATTCGGCAATCTCTGCACTGCGTCCGGAAATGTTAACCTTCTAAAATCTGCGGCGAAAATCCTTCCAATCTTTTTAATTAATCAAAATTAAATATTAGTTCGAATATTTAATAAAATGACTATAGCATCGATCGCCATTTGAGCAAGAAAAGCCAGCTTTGAAATTTTCAACTCACGCCTGTAAACGTAAAGAAATAGCACAAATAATTTCTTATAACTTTCAATGAACATTACTTTTTCAGTAACGTTGAAACGCACATTGACAAATCATCCTCAAATGGGTTCTTTCGGAATGGGTAAACTTTCAACAGTACTGTACACTTAGACATCTCAGCGACGAAATGGATAACATAGATCCCCTCAACTGACACAGAAAGTAATACGCAGTAACGGTTCTGGGTTCTACCGATTCGAACCCAGACCTTCTTTTTTCTTGAATATCAGGCAGGTGTCGCCAGAGGCACTAGCCAAAATAAAAGTGGACTAAGCTGGAAAAAAAAATTCTTGAACTGCTCGAACTCAAACTGGTTTGAATTAACTTGATCTATTATTCCTACGCAAACGTAGTTTAGTGTAATCTAACGCACCGCATGATTAAATCTCACGAAATTTATAAAATCCACGAAACAAACATGACCAACAAAAACATTTTCGTTGCATTGGCAACAACAATTTGCGGAATACCAGAGTCCAGGCGTTGCTTTCAAGAACCGCAGTTAAAAGTACTGATTTTTTTTTTTACATAAAGGTACTACACATTTTTAAGCCTGGAAAATCCGTATGTTCCACAGCAGAACCTGGAATAAGGAGTTTCAGAACACCTCGGATCAAAATGCTGAAATATGTCAACATATTTACCAATTACAGGATTTGTTTGCACCGAAATGCAACGCACGAAACTTATACATAATGATAATTTCGAATAACTCAGAGCATCCGTAACCTTGTGGGCATTTGAGGTCACGCACCAGGGACGTCTACGAAATCAAAAACAAACCTCCATCCCACCACCAACATTCATCGCCTGATGACATCGATAAAAAGCTAACTTTTAATTTTTGAATCCCCCTACCGCGAACGACAGCAAAATATGTATCCGATTTTGCCCGCCATCGTAGATGTCGCCCTGAAATGCCCACCCCCTGAGAAAATCAGCGCTAATCCGTCCAACCCCTTTTTGCTCACGAACTGCACTGACGGACACAGAAAATAGAAACCAGAAAAAAAAGCGAACCCGTCATAGTTGCGGTCCTGATATTCTTGCTGTTCTTGCTGTTGTTGTTGTTGCTGCTGCTGCTGTTTGCGGTCCCGTCGAAGCTGATGTTGTTCTTGTTGTTTTTGCTGGCCTGACATCATTTCGTTGTCATGGTGCGACATCTGGTGATGATTCCCGTTCGCGTNTATTGCTGATACCCAAAGTGGTACCAAAACAAAGGGGAGTCCATAAATAGATGCTGCTTCTGAGCTAAACTACATTTGGACCTTCCCAAGTCAAAACTGCATAAGTTTAAAACCTTCATAAAACAGTACAGTATATCAAAGTTGTTTCCTGGCCAATTTTCTCAAGTCGAATGCAATTTAAACTCTTAAATTTCAAAACTTGCTGGTTCAAACCTTGCTTAGTTGAACTTGTAGGGGTATTTTTGTCATGAAATTGTAGCTAATGTTTGAACAACTTGTCGCAGAAAACTATTAAAAAAATACGAATTACAGTAGATACCAATAATTAATAATTTACACAAGGAATTAAAAATCTTGGGTAGGACATCATTAAATGAATGAACAGTTCTAACAATCTGGTCAGGAAATAATTTCAATTGATTAAGCTAACCAGATTAGCAGAAGTTTGATTGTAAACCTGTGCTGATTAGTTCTGCTTGCAAAGAACTAATTCCTCTTCGAAATAGATTTGGAATGTATTAAAAACCTACAAATACGAGAGCTCCAGAAAATAAATGCAATAATGCTGCCCATTTGAAAATCGGCAGCCTCCTGCAAATAAGCATAAACCCTCGATTTAACAATAAAGAGTTTCAAATTTTCAGGAAGAAAATACAAATTACGGACGTGAGATTCTGTTCAAAATATGTTCCGTATATGTCATTGTATCAACAATCCTGGAGGTACTCATTGACATGATAAAAAGGCGGGCAAACAAACCATAAATAAATAAATACCTCCGCAAAAACAACAAAAACACGCAATACAACAATAACAAACAAAACAAAACGTCAACGAAAAACGAACTTATCACTTGATCCCGTAAAATCGATTTTTGTGTCCATGAAAAAAAAAGAGGAAACGCCGAAACTTCTCTGTTTTCTTTTTTGACGAACGCGTCAGCTGGAGAATGAACACGGAAACTTGTTCTTTCCCTCTTCACCGCATTCGTCGAATTCCTCGTCGACAACTGTTTCCGGAAATCGTCGTAAGCAGAGAAATTTAGACACACGTTCATGGATTCATGTCAGTTTCTTGTCATTCTCGTTTCCTATCTTTTCTTCGTCCAATTCTTGGGTTTCGAGTTCATGATGGCGAGTGGAAGCGTGGGATCGAGACTGCGACGACGCTTCGCAGCAGGATCGTGTTCATTGGTATTGGTTGAATCTGAAACAAAACAATTTGTCATCATTCTAAAAGAAACACATTGGCAAATACTGTAGTTGGAGAATAAAAGCATTATTCACATCAATGGTGAGAGAAATGGGCAAAGACTGTAAAAATACTAGACGATCCTGAGGAATCATTCGGCAATCTCTGCACTGCGTCCGGAAATGTTAACCTTCTAAAATCTGCTGCGAAAATCCTTCCAACCTTTTTAATCAATCAAAATTAAACATTAGTTCGAATATTTAATAAAATGACTATAGCATCGATCGCCATTTGAGCAAGAAAAGCCAGCTTTGAAATTTTCAACTCACGCCTGTAAACGTAAAGAAATAGCACAAATAATTTCTTATAACTTTCAATGAACATTAATTTTTCAGTAACGTTGAAACGCACATTGACAAATCATCCTCAAATGGGTTCTTTCGGAATGGGTAAACTTTCAACAGTACTGTACACTTGACATCTCAGCGACGAAACGGATAACATAGATCTACTCAACTGACACAGAAAGTGATACTCAGTAATGGTTCTGGGTTTTACAGATTCGAACCCAGGCCTTCTTTTTTTTAATATCAGGCAGGTGTCGCCAGAAGCACTAGCCAAAATAAAAGTGGACTAAGCTGGAAAAAAAAATTCTTGAACTACTCGAACTCAAACTGGTTTAAATTAACTTGATCTATTATTCCTACGCAAACGTAGTTTAGGGTAATCTAACGCACCGCATGATTAAATCTCACGAAATTTATAAAATCCACGAAACAAACATGACCAACAAACACATTTTCGTTGCATTGGCAACAACAATTTGCGGAATACCAGAGTCCAGGCGTTGCTTTCAAGAACCGCAGTTAAAAGTACTGAATTTTTTTTTACATAAAGGTACTGCACATTTTTAAGCCTGGAAAATCCTCATGTTCCACAGCAGAACCGGGAATAAGGAGTTTCAGAACACCTTGGATCAAAATGCTGAAATATGTCAACATATTTACCATTTACAGGATGTGCTTGCACCGAAATGCAACGCACGAAACTTTTAAATAATGATAATTTCGAATAACTCAGAGCATCCGTAACCTTCTGGGCATTTGAGGTCACGCACCAGGGACGTCTACGAAATGAAAAACAAACCTCCATCCCACCACCGTATAACATTCATCGCCTGATGACATCGATGAACAGCTAACTTTTAATTTTTGAATCCCCCTACCGCGAACGACAGCAAAATATTTATCCGATTTTGCTAATCATCGTAGATGTCGCCCTGAAATGCCCACCCCCTGAGAAAATCAGCGCTAATCCTTCCAACCCCTTTTTGCTCACGAACTGCACTGACGGACAAAGAAAATAAAAACCAGAAAAAAAAGCGAACCCGTCATAGTTGCGGTCCTGATATTCTTGCTGTTCTTGCTGTTGTTGTTGTTGTTGTTGCTGCTGCTGCTGTTTGCGGTCCCGTCGAAGCTGATGTTGTTCTTGTTGTTTTTGCTGGCCTGACATCATTTCGTTGTCATGGTGCGACATCTGGTGATGATTCCCGTTCGCGTCTTCCCGCGTCACAGACGCTTGCCGCCGTTTGAGTCCCAAATTGTTGCCGGCTCGCACGAGCCAAGTCGGAACTCGGAAGTTGAACAGGCCAGACGTGGAGAGACGCTTCCGGAACTGCTGGAACTGGAACCTCAGTTGCTGCCACAGCTGTTGCCTCTCGCTCCGGTCAAAGACATTCTACACGGAAAGAAATATGAAAGTAAAGTACAGGATATTAGCATATACCCCGGACACTTCGAATCGGCCATCGAATTATTATTTGGATAACAGACTGCGTAACAGGTGACGATCCTTGAAAAAAAAAAAAAAGAATCGAAGTCTCTTCTTGTTGCAAATGTGTATCCAAGAATTTGTTTCAGTGAACACAATCATTCCTGAATCAATGAGCGTCGTGAAAATGTATTTCTTGATCTTGGACGTTTCTTTTGCGGTTCAATGTTTCATAGAGGGAAATCAAATCGCTAGAATTTACGTTTCTACAGAAATGGAAATGCTTGAATATTCCTAAAATGTTTTGATTTAGATGTTTTCGGATGAGGCACATCAAAACCAATTTAACCCGGTGAAGAATTGTAACGAACTTCTGGCGCGAAGAAGAATAGTAAAAAAAAAACCCAGAAAGCAACATAATGGGGAATATAAAATAGGGAATATCATAAATTAGAAAACAATAAGAAAAACATTAATCCATTCAGCCTAATTTTACTCAGTCATGGCCTCAAGGTTCTTTTTAGGGGACTCCGTAACAATTGATGCATTCTTTCTGTACCCCTTGAAATTACGGTAATTCTTATTGAGATATTTTCGTGATAAAAAATAGAAAATAACGGATTGCTTCAACTTCAGAATGAACAACGAAAGAACACGTGGTTCTTCTTTTTAGTAGGTCACATGCCTGTTGATCATTGGAACAATGTTCTAGCCAGAGAACGACGCCAAAAAACGGTGACTCAGACTGAATTTTTAGGCAGAAAAACACTTCTATAGATACTCAGATTATGCAAAATCTACTATTCTACTATTATGCCTCACCTTCATGAGTCAGTTTCATTGGACCATGAAAATACAAAATTTCCTACCAAATCGAAGGTATCTCTTCGAACGCAATACCTGTTCAAACTGCATAAAACATACCGAGTGTTCGAAAAAAAATTCGCGTCAAGAATGCAAATAACAACAAAAAAGGTATCTTCTGTCCCACTAAACAAAGGATCACTATTTAAGCCAGTTTCATGAAGAACGGGGTCCTTTTTTTTTTTTAAATCTTCCACACAATCTGAGCTTTCCCTTGTTTTCCCATAAGAAACGTTAAAAGAAAGTGGAAAAGGAAATTCTGGGGCATCTCTCGGTTGCTCTTACAACCATGAAAATTAGGGGGATTGCGGCGAGTAAACTTCATCATCATACGGCGCAAGCGACCACCAACAAGAAGAAATCATCCGAGAAAGCAAATTTCACTCGTCGCATTTTCTCTCACAGAATAAGAAAGAAAAAAAAGTAGCAACCAACAAAAATAAGAGGGAAACTTCTTTGCGGTTACAACACACAAATCCGAATAACATATCTCGCTGCTTTTTTTTTTAGTTTTTCTCCCGCGTTTCATACCTTTTTCTCCGGCTCTCTCCTTTTCTCCATGTACAGTATATGATTTGAAAACATAAATTAGATTCTTGTAGAGAAAATTATACGAAGAAAAAAAACGCCGCGTCTAAAAAGTAATTCCCTGCTGCTGATGCCCTAAAGACGAGATAATAAACCGCAGTAGAAACAACTTTTCCTTTTTGTCATTTCACTCATTCGCAATCTGTCGCACTTGCCTCACTTCCAATTAAAATTCACCAGCGCCAAGCATTAATTTCCCTTTTATAAAAAGTAACCCGCTTTAATGACTTTAAATTGAACGTGACGCTCAGGAGCTTTTCACGATTGTAATCCGTCGATAATTTTCATTTAAATTCCGTCAATCGAGCCAGAGTTAATGGATAACATTTCAATCGTATGTTCAAAACAACCACAAAATTTAAACTTCAAGAGACTCGAATAGATTAACATCATAAGATTTCCACGAAATAATTTTTTAATGGAACAAATTCCAGTCAGGAAAAAATCTTTCGAATCATAGTGATCACGGTTCAGCTTTGTTTAACAAATTGATCGTAATATAAAATACACTTCGAACTCCATCGACTTGAGCATTATACATTCTTAAATGTAGGTGACCGAAATAAAATTGTAAAAAAATTATTATTGAACTATTTGAGCGATCACGATAAAAATGTCAAATTAAAGCAAAATTATTCTCCTTTTAATGTCGTCCAATTTTCAGTTGCACTGATATACGGCAAGAACGAATCACATAAAAAATAATAACAAAAAAAAACTTTATTGTCTTGCGACGGTTGAAAGAAGTTCTTTTAATTGTCATAATATAAAATATATTACGCATTTGAACGATTACAAGCCAATAACCGCTCGGACTTCTAAAGCGATATTTCAAATTTATTCTGGCAATTTTTTCGAGAATTCTCCCACATTTATTTTTCAGGATGCCAAAAATAAAAAGGGGAGCGGAATGCAGCGTTTCTATCCGGATTCTGAACACTATTCGGTTGAGAAAAAAAAACAGGATTCCTTCTGAAATTGTTTTGCTTTTACCGCACTGTACTGATTTGCCTTCAGACTATATACACAGACAATGCAAGCCATACAATTCAAAGGGAAATTGGGATTCCACCTGTACACTATATACAGCTGACCTAAATATAATTTTTCACAAAGCTCAATTTCCTTCTTCTCAGCCCCACCGTGTCAGCTTTCAACTCAGAAATTGACACGTCGAAAGTATGCAAACATTCTCTTTACGAAAATGGGAAGCCCCGGGGGGATATTTGGAAATGAATCGCTGAAACCTTTCGCAGACAGCAGCTTCCATCAGAAAATATTTTTCGCCAAAAATAAAAAAAAAATCAAATCTAAAAAAAAAATACGGTACTATTACAATGAAGAAAAGCACATCCGGGGGATTTTTTGACTCCCAAAACCGGATCCGAGAGATCGTTGCTTCAGGGCACGCTTCAATCACGAGTCAGTTGGAAAATAATCCACGTAACCTACGACGTACGTCTCAGCGTGTTCTTTTTTTTTTATTCTCCACATTATTTTCTTTTACTTCTCTCCCGTTCTTTTTCTTATATGTGTGTATCCCTTTCATCATTATTATATTTTTTTCAGTCTTGGCGATGAATAAAGAAATGAGCTCCGATTGAAGCCAAGCGCGTGATGGACGCGACGTTAATTAGCCTCAGCCCGGCAAACCGAAGCAACACCAGCTGCGACAGGAAAGTGGCCCATCTCAATGACCGGTTGCTTGCTCCAGTTTTCCGGGATGTTCCACTTCGCTCCTGTCCTTTTCAAATGCATTACACACTTCTTCCATATACACGTCTTTTTCGGGGTCGATGCATAAATTTCAATCACGTCCACTATACAAGTTTCTCAAACATTGGAGGAAATGCACGTCGATTGTCACTGACTTATTTCAAGATTGCGAGCAGAATAGAAAGGGATTAGAAAAATTGGCACTACGAATGGAATTATATTCCCTCACTTCCAGATGCTTCAACCGAATGACCGATTTTTTCTTCCATTTTTAAATGATTTCCTAGTCTCGAAGAAATTAATTTTAACTCGGTAATCACATCACAAAGCAATTGATGGCAAACGCAACACTGAATAAAAGATCCTAAGAGCAGTTTTTAAACCTCATAAAATTAAAATGCGAATTACATTCCATGCATAAATCTTTCATACTACCAAACAATTCAGGGAAATCACGGGATATACAGACACAGCCAGAAGAACTTTCAGAAAATTTTCCAACAGCAATAGGTCGAAGGTGAGATTCGAAAAGCTGAGCTCCAATTCAAGAAAAAACCAAAATTCCTTAACAACGATTTCCAATTTTTCACATACTTTATTTTGAACATGGCCGCTTGAACATTTGCACAATTTTTTCTTGGGCCCCCTCGTGTATTGAAACACATAAACTGCTTCACTTAGTCAAGAATTGTCCGGTAAAGGGAAAGGGTTTTATTGTAACACAAATTTCAAAATAGCCTTAAAAAATTCAACGGGTCAACGGGGTTAAAAAATAAAGATTTCAAATGATTCGGTGAATTCTCAAGATTCAAGTTAATATCACACGTGCTGAGTCATTAGCCATATTTTTACGCACAGAGTAAATCAAGTGAACTCGAAGAGCATAAACTGAAAAAGAAAAAATGATTTCCCTGTCACGAAGATCCGTTTTCGCAATCTTTACGAGTTATTCATCCATTTGCATTGATTTAACTTATTAAACACGATAAATCATCGTCAAAAAGTAACCGTCACATGAGCTTCGCAAAGTTTGAAATGATCTAAAAATAATACCTTTCCTCACTTCTGTGGAGATTCAAATACGATTCCCAAACCAGCTCGAAATAATTTAACGTCATCTTTCCCTCCCCAACCTTATTAACTCATTAAATGGGTGTTATTCGCTTCGAAAGTGAGCCGGTATCTGGTCTACTTAACAACATAATGGATCTTAAACTAAAATAGCTCTTACAGCTTGCGCTCGCTAAACGATTCTCAGAAACGTTCAAGAAAGGAGGGAGTCTTTTTCACGCACTTCAGTTTTTTGAATGCTCTTCAAATTGAGATAAAATTGGAATATCAATACTGCAGTCATGATTTCATAAACGGCATTCTCACCATAGGACTCGCTTCCGCAACCACGACGATCGTCACCAGGACCAACGCTGCCAATGTCAATTTCCTGCAATGAGAAAATATCATAAAATATCGTAAGAATTTTCAGTGATATAAGTTTATCATAAGAGTATTCAGATGAAGGAGCCGGTACAATTTTATCCTTGAACACAAAAAAAATCCAAATATAAATATTTAAGGTACAATATAAGTTCTAAGACAATTTCATCGTTGACTTTAGAACTATTTTACTGTTTCAGCACTTCGAATTTTCACAAGCAACGGGATAAAATTTGTTCACTTGAAAGAAAATCGTGCGGAGACCTTTGTTTTTTTTTTATCTTAAAATTCCCCACGATGCATTTTTCCCGCAAGAGGGTCTTGATGGGATCCGTCCTAAATTTAAAAGAAGACACGATAAAGATGCAAGGGAAGAAAAATTCCTCCGAAAACGGATCTCAGTGTATTCGGAAGAAATCACGAAAAATAATTTGAGAAGAGCATAAAATAATAAAAAAAACATCTCACTGAGAAACTGTGCGTTAAATTGTGATTTATTACATCGACGGGATATGATCATTGTTCTCTTCCAAGAGAGCGAATTTAGGTTACAGAGATTTTGGAGAAAAATTACGGTCTGCATTTTAAAGCAATAAAATCGCAAATGCGATTCCAATTTCCATTTCGCCTCAATACTTCCTCAAATTTTCAACCATATAAAAGAAAAAAAAGCGAAACAAATAAGTGCTGTCAGGGACTTTCACATCTTCTCACGCTATGAATCAATCTTTCGATAATTCATACGTACGCGAGTTTCGAGAAATCATTTTCGGATTACACGGCCCCAGAAGAAAAACAATACTTCGTACAACACTACATAACTCTCAAAAAAAGCTACATGAATCAAAGCGTCCGTGTGCACGATGTTCGTGAGGAAACACGGCTTGTCACCAAAAAATATTTATTGTGGGAAAACACTAAAGCCAGCGCATTCATCATCCTCATCGATTACGCCTGATAAATAGGACACGGGATTCTTTTTCCGGAAATAACTTGTTCATTCGACGGAAGCCGCAAAGGAAGTTCGAAAAAATCATGATATTCCTCCTTCTCCCCCCCCCCTTTCACTTTAAAAACGCTACGATTTTTTCAACAAAATTGGATCACATTCAACACGCGTCGTCAAAAAAGATATTCGCGACGAGGGAATGATCTGAGAAGGCGCGAGAAAAAGGTGATCCTTTCTCCGCAAAATGCCAAAACCTTTGAATTTTCTCACAGAAATGGGCTCGCGAAATTTCGTCGAGCAATGAACGATTCCGGCTACTTTTTCCACCCTTCACATATCAGAACCCGGAACTTTCTCCCGCACCCGAACGAATCGAATCGCTGACCAAATATCCTGGTCATCTCTGAGCCCCTGGCAATTTTCAAAAAACGTTTGTCCATTCTCAAACGGAAACCCGCTCATTTGGAAGAAGTAAAATTAAGTTTTAAAAAAAGAACACTTTGCAAAAATACTCCTCATGTAATCCTTCCTTTCCATAATTTAGAAACATACACGATGAAAGTAATTTAAATTCTGCTGCTGTCGACGGGCGACTGTAGGAAAAGCCGGGTGCTGTTGAAAATTTTGCAAGCTTTCAGAACATACAAATTCAAGAGCAAAAAGCGAAGTGAAATATAAGAATAAAAGTAACTAAGATAATTGCTTGGGATTCAGAAGAAATAAAACAATCACAGCAGTAATAAAATTTCTGCCAGAACGCAGGAAACTTGCAAGGGATATGTTTTATTCAAGTTTCAGGCTGAAAAATCCGGGTGCGCAATTTACTTATTGTTCAAAACTAATTGTTTAAAACCGTATTGACTCAAGTACTGTACCACGCACCTTCAAGTAAGGCAGGCATCGCAATTTTTCTGCCTAAAATTTGGATAAACATGTATTATTGAGTAAGACGCGTATCACATCTTTAGAGGCTGAAAACTGAAATACAAAATTTTCGAGATAAAATTCATCTGCATTCAAATTTCAATTTTATTTGTAGTCAAGTTGGATTTTAACCTTAATTTATCTCCATTTTTAAATTGTCAGCAAAAATTGTTTGAAATCTTTGTGTTGGAATCAAGTATTATTGGAGGTGCAACAAAACCTTTAAATGAAATAAAAAATGTTGTACCCACTTATTGTTCACACCCTCTGTTTTCCTTCTTTAAAAAAGGAGAGCATGCATGGTCCTAAAAAAACTGTGATTACAATTATTCAAACAGATGCTTGAATTGAAATAATTGCATAAACTTTGATTTTATCTCTGCTTTCAAATCTTGAATTTTTCAATAAGGCGTATTATTGACGTTCGAAGACAGGTCGAAGTATATTTGATCCATCCTGTGAATTCCGGCATCTGTTTCCTTTCACAATAATTTTAACCCAAGTTTTCCGCACAATTTCGCGTTTATAATCTGCGAAAATTCAGGTCTTGATATTCCAGGAGGCTGTTTGGGGGATTCAAGATCGCGAACGATCAGATAAAATATTACGCTTTATGATCAAACGGAAGAATGCTCCGAGATTCAGAACTTTTTATTATTCTCTAGAATCGTAGGGGGGGGGGGGGTTTAAACCAGGGGGTATTCGAAAGACTCACCTCATTTTTGTTGTTGCGCAAAAAGCTTCCTTCCAACGGAGTTGAAGATCTTTCAAAGTAATTGTTTAATCTGCAGCAGCGACGAAACGAAACAAAACGAAACTATATACGGGTTTCACACTGGTATAAAGATACACACACGAGAGAGAAAAAAAAAAAGAAACTCAAGAGTCAGGCAGAGGCGAACACAGCAACGTCCGGACCACGACTGACTCGACGCACTCGGTCCAACCTTAATTTTCTCAGCTCTGGCCAAGCGCCGATTTGTGTCTTCTTTTCTTCTCTCCTTGGTCCGGAGAAATGCAGCCTGGAACCGACAGCTGCTGCAACGACTTTTCCCCACGCATTCCGCACCGATTCTTCGGTCTCATTCCGAAGACGCTCGGCTTCCGTCATCTGCGTATGCCAATAATCACGCCTGATTGAGACCGAGTCATCCCAAAAATCCACGACCCTGTCGTTCTCTTGAAAAAAAAAATAAAACCTGCTCCATCACGTTGGATCACTATACGCCTCCGAGGAACCTGCGGCGGAAGAATAACATAACGGGTGAGTATGCTGATTATAGATTACAGAACACAGCGGGGAACTCTCTCCAAAATAAACTCGGACACAATGACGAATCACTTGATGGGACTTAATTGACGTACTGCAGCTTATTAATGAACGAACGTCTTTTGAATCCGTATAAAAAACTTCAGGAATCACAAGAAGTCACTAGCGGAACAAACTTTTTCTCGCCTAACCACGTGTTGTGATACTGTTGGGCTTGAAATTGTGATCTTGAAAAAATTAACCCATACGAATAAACTTCATTTTTTCCTTCAGTTCCTTTATTTTTTCAAGGTTTGGTGTCCTTTCTTACGATGAGTCAAATACTAAAGGTCACAAGAGAAAAACTTCAATTTCCTGAAAAATAAATGTCTGTTAAACGGGAGCGAAGAATCTTCAAATCATTTTGGAAGAGCATAAAAACGCTTGCCTGAAGTACTGGTAAGTATCTTTCATTTCCTTAAAAGTTTGGCAATCCCCCCCCCCCCATTTTTTCATGATATTTCTCGTTCCATGTATAAATTAACACCGCTTTCCTCTAGTCATGTATGCATATTTTATGCCTCAAAATTGAAACGTTTCAACTGATTACAAGTTTTTTAAATTTAATACAAGGTTCTTGATCTGGCCACATGACTGGCAGGTTTTATCAAAAGCTAAGAATTTTTGAAGAACTTAAAATGCGTTTTCATAATTCCAGCGCAAAATTTGCAGGATCTACTGTTCTAGTTGAGATTGTTAGATTTTCTTCGTGCCGAAAAAAAATCGGCTCGGCGTGAATATATCTTGATCGAAACGATTTTCTTTCTGGTTTCAAGAATGCGAAATTTTCTACTACAGTAATTGAAAATGAATTCTTCAGGGAAAACTCGCCAAAAAATATATGTCTTCAATAACTCAATGCCAGTGCTGCTGTGGTAGCACGTAGCAGAAACACATGGGCTCGCGAGGTTTTGAATAAAAATTAGTTAGTTCTATTCAAACCTCGGACGTGATGATTGCGTCCACGGTCTCACCCTTAATTAACACGGTTGATCGATCGCTCGTAATTCCAGCACTACATGTGGTTCCAAAGTCCTGTTATGACACGGAAGCCTCGTGACCCATATTCATCTTTTTCCCCTCGAGTGGGCTCCTGAACTATGGAAGAACCATGGTTCTTCGTTTTAGTAAGTATTATCACTTCCTGACTTCGAGTTCAACATCGCGACAAAAAATGAAACAGATTATCAATAATGTAGAGAGTATAGACCGAATCACATCTGCTGATTCATGTGAGTTTCTTCGTGCCGTATTTCCAACAATCCAGTTATGAACAAGGTTTCCAGTCGATTCTTCCTTTCAAATACTTGGTGGATCAGTTTGAAGTGGAAATTGTACGTCGGCTCAATCACAGTTGAAAAAAAGTAATTTTAGTCGACCGATTTTTATTCATTCAAGCCAATCAAGCGTGACACATGCGTGTTTCATATCCACATTTAGCTTATACAGTGGTTTGGTATCTTGCCACTTTTCAGTCGATCGGCTTCAAAAATGGCACTTGTAGGCCGCAGGTTTCGAGTCCTGAAGCTGAAGCATCAGTTGACATCACGATTTTCCAAGAACCAACTTGTTGCTTTCCATTTTGCACCACGAAATTTACACGTTTGTCTGTGCTTAGTCACTTAGTCATCGGCAGCTCTGAGAAAATATTACGGATCTTCTAACCCATTCCGGATCTTGTACCCATTACGGATCTTTTAACCCTGCTCAAATTTTTCATTGATTCATTTTTAAATAAGCTGTTGTTCCTCTTTTGATACAGATTATCAATAATGTAGAGAGTATAGACCGAATCACATCTGCTGATTCATGTGAGTTTCTTCGTGCCGTATTTCCAACAATCCAGTTATGAACAAGGTTTCCAGTCGATTCTTCCTTTCAAATAATTGGTGGATCAGTTTGAAGTGGAAATTGTACGTCGGCTCAATCACAGTTGAAAAAAAGTAATTTTAGTTGACCGATTTTTATTCATTCAAGCCAATCAAGCGTGACACAAGCGTGTTTCATATCCACATTTAGCTTATACAGTGGTTTGGTATCTTGCCTCTTTTCAGTCGATCGGCTTCAAAAATGGCACTTGTAGGCCGCAGGTTTCGAGTCCTGAAGCTGAAGCATCAGTTGACATCACGATTTTCCAAGAACCAACTTGTTGCTTTCCATTTTGCACCACGAAATTTACACGTTTGTCTGTGCTTAGTCACTTAGTCATCGGCAGCTCTGAGAAAATATTACGGATCTTCTAACCCATTCCGGATCTTGTACCCATTACGGATCTTTTAACCCTGCTCAAATTTTTCATTGATTCATTTTTAAATAAGCTGTTGTTCCTCTTTTGAAGGTTTTAAAACAAGGTCACGCCGAAGTCGTTGGAAAGAAGAAAGGCTACCACATTTTAACTTTTTTGGTGTATGTGTTAGAGCGTTTAGACGTTGCGATTGTTACGTGCTTACAGAAGATTTTTGAAGAATTCGTGAGAAAAAAGGCCCAGAATAAAACTGAGGAACAGTTCCCTTTCCTCGCACAGATTTTATTGCTTTTTTACATCAGTACAAGGGTCCACTATAAAAACTTGACTCAAATAACCTAACCGCATATATTAAAACATATTTCCTGAGCAACCCAGCTTTCTATCTCTGATCTATTTTGACGAGAGGAACCTATGAATGCGCAAGTACTGCAAGGACAGCTTTAGAAGGGCGAAGCACTTTTCGTGTGACAAGATTTTTTAAATCGTTCTCATATAAGCAAATATCTTTAATAAAAAAAATCCCTTCTCGATGCCGGAAATATTTCCCAGACTTCAAACCTCACACGAAGCTAAGCCGTGGGTACGGCCGAAGGAAGAAAGTTGGCACGGAAATAAACTACGAAAATTTCAAGAATGCATGCAGAAAGGGGAAGAAATTACTGTACATGCATACGGTTCGGAGCCTCAAAAAAACAAAAAAAAGCCCTGCAGCGCTGCGGTGTGGGTCCAGTTAGTGAGTCCTCTTGACCTGGAACAGTAAGTCTTGCCCCTCAGGCAAAAATCAGCTGAACACTCCTTGGAAGCAGACAATTTTGATGATTTTCGATCAGATTGTCAAAAAATTCGAAAAGATCGTTTCATTGCAACCCCAACGAGGTGAAATGGTCTTGGCAGGACTATCGGAACGACATGTACCTTGTATGTGTCACGCCCCACGGTTACGTTATGATACGCGTCGCGCAAATCATTCCGCACAGGTGAAATACTGTACGAGGTGCAGTTACTGCATTCGTGGTTACGGCTTTTCCCCGCTCGAACCAGGACACTAACGCCATCCAACTGTGATATAATCCCATCCCTGAGACATTGCACAAAAAATACCGTGGATAGTCTCGGTCCTACACGATTCAACCGGTATATTTCAACGTCAAGGAGTCCGACGATTCGTTCTGGCGACACGCGAATGGATCTCGGTTGACCGCCAGTGGAAGTTCTGTCGTCCGCGATGGAGTTGAAGCCTATCCAAAAGAATTTTCCATTCCATTGATTTAAAAAAAAAAAAAACAGGTACGTCTTCAGCAGGCATACCGCAGCGGACGTTCAACATCTTCAAACTAACGACTAATTTCGATCCTCCTTCAAACGATGATCCTCGTGAACAGCCGCATAGATAGAAAACGTCACCTTTACAAAGCGTGTCTAGTCCAGGAGGTTTGGACCTCCATGAATTGCAAGCGGAAAGAAATAACGTGTTCGAACGGCCTCTGGAAGGTCGAGTAACTGTGTACGTTCAATCCACTCGGAATAAATTAGCGTCACGGAAACGGAAAGGAGAGCTGCGAAAAGAAGCACACTGACATCCGAGTCAACAACCAGCGATGAGCTGCTGGCCCAAGCAGAGTTCTCCCGGCCTATTAGAGAAGTCACTGAACTCTCAACACGGTGGGTCACTGTACAACTACGAACAAAACAACCCAAGTTTTCCAGGTGACCGGAAAATTATTCCTACGCACGCTAAGAAAAATTAGGACCTAGCTTTCGAACTTCCTCGAGTCGCGGTGAATGAACTAACCACATTAATTTACACGATGAACAAAGGGGAACTCCGATGATTTTCGAACTCAGCCAATCATCGAATGACATCTTTACGGAGGCAGACATTTTGATTTTCAGGATGACGGTACCAAGTGAATGCAGTCTTATGTTGCTTCGATGTCATGCGATGTTCGACATTTATATTCCAGATGGAGGTAACAATCAAGAGTAACGTTCCACAGAATCGTAAAAAGGCAAAGAGTTCCATTGATTATAATGCCATGAGGTTTCCCTGCTTGTCCATTGACATGGGCAGCTTGAGGTTACAACAAGACACATGGCGTTCTTTCAAAGCCTGGTCAGCGCTGGATTATCCGAGCAACTATACAGAGGCATTCCGCAGACATGGTCATCAATTCACGCGTCGACCCGGCACACATTCCCGAACACACGTTCGTTTCTCCCATGAAGCGTATACCCTCCGGGTGCCGAGCACCGGAGAAGACGGGCTTCTTGAAGCCCGTGTCGACCATGTGCTCGAATGGACGCGTGCCGAGATTCATTTTTCTCCTTTTTCCCCCCGGGTGTTCTTCACATCTTTTAGGGAAACAGATTTGGGGAACGAGCATGATGGTGAACTGGATTTCAAGCTCGTTTGGCGTGAGTGTTACACTTTGACTTCCGTTCGGCAAACACATGTCGGTTATTCATGACGCGATTTGCATTTTCGGCCTCGCGATCAGCGAGAAAGCTTTCGTTCTCTCGCATTCCGGCATTTTTTCACAGAAACAAACAAACACCGACAGAAATGTCGACAACTAAAGTAGAACCTCAATTATAGGGGCTTTGAAAACGAATGCCCATATGTCAAAGGAAACGAAGCAGTTGATCCATGGGTCGAATAACTAAGAAAAGATAACCCAATTTTTATGCTGCATTATCTTCTGAGTGTTTCCTCGAAAGTAATTCACATGGGAATAATGTCTAATTAAAGCAGCAATAATCTCATGAAGTAACGCGCTCAATTTCATACATTGAGTCAACTTCTATTGATTCTGATGCACAGCAGTACGATGATCGACCAGGATTTGATGCATTCGATTGTCATCCGAAATAAACGCTACATTGATTTACGGAAGAAACCCCCCCCCCCCCCCCCCCCAAATCGAGTGCAGCTTTGACAGTAATAAAATTCAAAAAGACGCCTAATTTCATATTCAGTCAAGCTCAAGCATACGTTATATACAATAATATATATATACTGTGTTGGCATTCACTATACAGTATACCGTATTCGAAATGATATGCAATTGTACTCAAGAAAAGAAAAAAGCTTTACATGATTTATTATACCTTCGAAAGTGCAACATATACCGTATATATCGTGATTATCAACGGTGAGCTCAAAATCATGGGTGCCTGAAAATTTCCAAAATCCTACTTCTTTTGGCCCTTCCATTAGTAAAATTGTCTATTCTTCTGTGTTCAAGACGAATTTTCATCCAGCAGCACACAAAATTTTCAACAAATTCTTCCCTGAAATTTTGTGAGGAGTCCGCGGATACATTGGAACAAAATGAATAGAGAAGTATCAGATTTCAAGTCGCTATCGTACTTCGGTGAGCACTACACGAAAAAATTCCCACTCTGCATGCTTTCTAGCATTTAATGTAAGAAAAGATAAAATGCTTCCAGAATGATGTGTCTGCTGATTATAATACAATGTAGGTACTTATTTACACCTCGATTTGCGCGTACAGGAATCAGTGCTCTCGACGACAAATGGTTCAGAACACCGTTGACCTAGAAAGCGACCATCATAGAACTCCGCGAGATTATTCAAGCCACCTGGATCGTAATTAAGATATTAAACCTCGTGACGTTCTTATAGGTATCTATAAGAACAGGAATCCACCTCAATAAGTACAGTTTCAATTTTTCTGCAGAATACGTCGAACAGGACTGAATTTCTTTTTTCTTGCGCCAAGGGATTTTTCTCGTGCAATAATTGTTGTTTCAGCTAACTTGTATGCCATTTCAATTCCTATTTTCTGATAACTTTTTTACATCACTCATCCTGGTCGTATTTCAGAAAAATCTATTTCTTCAAGCCCTATCCAAATCACTTATCGCGAAAAGATATTTTTGCCCCAGCCGGAAAGGATTGTACTGTACAGCAGTACTGCATTTCATTCACAGCAGTGAAATAACGGGATCACGTCCTTATTTCTTCAAAATTTTGAAATTAAAATGGCAAAAAGCGTTCATATAATACTCTACGGCCTATATATCGAGGGGTCCCGGGCAAATTTTCTTTCGCTTTCTCGGAAAACACTCAGTGCTGCTTTAACGTATCAGCATCAGGAGCGCCTATTACATGTATATACAGTACTACGATATAATCAGCGTCGAAACAAAAAGGGGTACAGTTCTTTTTCAGCATCACATCAATTCATTATCATCACGGCATGATATCGCCTTTGTTCAGAAAGCGACTTCTCCTTTTCCTTCGTCGAAAAAATACTAGAAAGGCGGCGATTGCAAATAAGAAATTATTTCATATCGATTCAAAACGGCTTTGTGTATCAGCGACGAGGGCTCATGCCGTCATATGAGATCGAGTTTTTAGTTCTTGTGAGAAAATTAGGGAGAAATAATGCATACAGGGAAGAATTTTGAAGCAATCCTCTGATGCCGGCATGATGATCAAGAGATGCTCGTCATCCGCTAGGAATGTTCTTCGATTGCAGCGATTTGTTGAACTCGGTACTAAAATTGAAGCTCAATATCTACGAACCTCCCTCATCAGTAAAATACTTTTGTATCTGGAATTTTTCAAATCATCAAATAATTCAATATCATAAAAGGCTTGTTTCCTTAACCCAAATTGTCTTTGTTGGACCTTTTGAAATTTCACTCAACGAGGTTTGACGACTGTACAATGCATCTTTTCGATCCATCCGCGCCATCAAGACTCCAAGAAATAACAAGGCAATGAAGTACAGTATATCCTATAGACACAAAAAATTATTATTCATCGTGCTTCGTAATATGCAAGAATAAAAATTATTTTTTAATATTCGTCTCCAATGATCGAAAAGATATTGCATTGTACAGTCGTCAATACTTGTGAAGTGAAACTTCAAAAGGTACCAACAAAGACAATTTGGGTTAGGAAAACAAGCTTTTTATATTGAATTATTTGATGATTTGAAAAAATCCAGATACATGCAGAGATGGTGGTGGAAATTGCAACATAGATCCTTTTCAGTTTCCTACGAATCTCACGGATCATTCTCATTCAGCATTGTTCCGTGGGAATGTTCGCCGAGTATGAAACTTTCGGAAGCACATTCCGCGACGAAAAGGAAGTTGTACTGTATATATATCCTCTCACTTCGGTGCGCGGGGGGAACAAACTAGAGCTCATCCGCATCTGCACATCCTGGTCTTCGTACAGAGATGACGAGACGCTTGAGAACACACAGCGCTGCTGGAAATTCCGGGGCAACATCTGAAACTTGCTTTCAAGCACGAGAAAGCGAGAGCCCGACTTTTCCCCCAAAACTCAGCAGTGTATATGATGAAATGAAACATACCTCTCGGAATCGGCGTCTGACTGATGTATAACGACCGGATGGCGAGGTGAGATAAAGCGAAACCACTGTGTTATTGATTCCCTTCAGCGGGAAAGAAAAAGAGAACCAGATTAGCTCCTTCGGTACAGGTAATCCGTACTAATTATGTCATGGTACTGCACATACTAAAGTTGGATTCGTAAGAGTGAAAGGTTACTCGTCGCGACCAGCTAGCATTTCGCTTTGCATAGCCGGAAACATTCCACGAATTCGATGTGAAGAGTAGGAATAGAAATCCGTGCATCCGGCATGTGACTCATTGTGAGGTCAAGTGCGATTTCCCAGCGTGAAGGAATGTTGGTTCTCACAAGAAAAAGAGAATTGTCGGTCAAAAAAAGACGGGAAGTATTTCCCATAAATTCGGATGATCCTATACTATCTGTATAGCGAAGTTGAAAGAGACGTAAGAAATGAATACTTTTGATTCACAATAAATTTGTGATGGTTCAAGAGCATCACAAATTTATTGTGAATGAACAGCTCCTTTTCAATAATCGCGAAGTTTTCGTCTCTTGAAATATACCACAGTACTGTAGTAGGAGAGAAGTTTTTTGTTGAAGAACAAGCATTATGTTAAATCTTACAACAATTGACCTCTATCCGCCAAATAACGCACCAGAAAATGATATGGAGCATCACAAAAGTAAAATTTACCTAAGAAGGTATTACTGCAATAAAAATTACATTGGCATTCAGATTTTCCAGGACTTCACCAACTGCGCCCTGATTTGAAGTTATAACGACGGAAAAAATTATTTTAAAGGCACGAGTAAATTCTTCGCATCATCTTTTGCATTTTATTGTGATTGAAAAAAAATATTTGACCAGATTTCCGAGTGTTACTGTTATTTCAGGTTAGCCCATTATCACGTGAATATTTGAAACTTGAATTAAATGTTTCGACACTAATGTAATGGCGACGAAAAAATTGTGTTACTATTTTATTGAAATATTGTACAGTACACTTATAACAATTTAATTTAAGAGGCTTCTCATGCATACCAACTTTATCTGACATACAAATTCGCATCTTCCAAACATATTGTACTCGTTCAACTTTGAAAAATTATCCTGAAGCAAAAATTTGAAGATGATTTCAATCACGACAGACTGCATACATATGCAGATCACCCTCCGTCTGAAGTCTGTTTACCAAGATCAAGATCATCCACAGGATTTGCTTCCATCCATGGAAAACTCGAAATCAGAAATGTCAAAATTTGCAAGCCTATACTGCTTACTGCGTTATCCTTAAATTTCAGACAGTGCTTATGATTATGGCGTACAGATAAACGTGTAAAAAAAGGCTCATTATTTTGCCAACCAAAACACAGATTACACAACCTCTACCTTCGAACCCTCATCAACGGACGTTTGATAATTAAATTGTCCCGAATTTCAATGAAGAACGCGCAATTAATTGAAAAATTATGTACATAAAATTCCATCGGAAACATAGTGAAAAAGTGACGATCGTATCTTTGAACAGTCTTCGTAGAATATTTTCAAAGAATAATGCACTCTTTTTTTTCGTGAAATGTAATACAGTAGGAATTCGGAAATCAGTCTTTCTAAAAGATTCAATCAAAGAAATGCCCAATACGGGCAATGGTGCTCAAAAATTGGATCCGGAAAAGATTGGATTCCTTGAACGCCAGTTTACGGTCTCCAATTAATCGTGACGAATGGAACCGCATCAAAACGAAGCAATAGTGAACGGAGAACCTTTCAGTCGGCAACCTTTCACTCCCGGGTTCGCAGCAGTAGTCCACCGATGAATACAGTACAGTACAGTACAAGTGTTTCACAACTCACATCGAAGAGAAACAACCATCTTCCAAACTTTCATTCAGATTAAATTCCCGGTCGTCACATACACTTTTTGCGAACACCGACGGAAAATAAAATTCTCAACACGAAGCTATATAAAACACACAACAGAAAAACAACATCGCGATGCACTGAAATGATTCTTCACAATGCTAAAAAGCGGAATACAAGAATTTTGACGGATCGCCTCGCAAGCTGAATAAATTATTCGTCTCTCGCTCGAAAAATGCCCAACTCATCAATGACAAGCTGAATATTACAGCAGGGCTTCTTCAGCGAGATACTCACCTAAATTTTCATTCACAGTTGATAAATCTCTTTCATTTCTTCCCTTCCCCGATTCTTGTCTTTCAGCGAGACTAGAGTGCTTCAGTTATCGAACTTTTCCTCCTGGTTCCTCCCGTCTTTTCTGAGATTCGAAAATTCGAAACTTAACGTACATCCTAAAAAAAAAAAAAAAATGCTGGAAATCATGCTTTCTTTCTCAAGAGGGGAACTACTAAAATTCTCCTTTTGATTTCATCTCCTCAAGATGTTTTCGCAGCGAGCTCATGTAATTAAGTGTCGACGCCGGCAAAACTGCGTTGAGCATCGTCGCTGGCAAGTGATCAAACTTCAAATCCGCGTTGAAGATCCAAGTGACCTTCGTTGCGTCTGGGTTGCCTTCAATCGGTTCGAATCTGAACCCACTCGGTCCATTTTCCGCCCTGGAATAATAAAATAAACAATCAAGTTTTTTTGCGTCAGCCGATTTGCTCTAGAAGGCAAGAAACATGCAATTCAAAGAAATCAATCACCAGACACCCAAAAAGGATCCGGCAGTTTTTGGCAGGGAGATGTTCAAGCAAACTGAGACAACTGATATTAATCGTGAGAATCGAGCCATAGGCTAGAAGTGCGATTCGCCAACTGTTCGCTTTCGTATTTTCCAATGGTGCGCCCGTAAGCCGTAACCGATCACAAGATTTTCATTACCATTACTGCACACAGATGTCGCACTTGCCATTAGTCACAACTACAGTAATTAGTCAAACATGCTCTGAACAAAAGGTACGGAAGTTGAGATCAGCTGGTTGGTGCTGAGTTAGCCGACAAGAAAGCAAGTAAGATTTTATCTCTTCGGATTCGGTTAGGTAAACAAATCGTGACTGGGTACACTGCGTGATTCTTTCCTCCCGTCACGAATATCGCACCATATTTATGCATCAAACCACAGGCACAGATACGACAAAGCCTTCTACGAAACGAGCCTATCGCTTGAGATCAGTTTCTCGATTCCCGATAGCGGATTAAAAATGTATCGAACATATTCGAACGAAAAGATTACCTCACAAAATCCTCCAAAGGTGGTCTTCCGGGCCATTCTGTTGATACGTAGGCCACGTAGTAAATCTTGCCGAGAGGCCCGTCCTCCTCGTCGCGTTCATTTAAAACAACGAAGTCACGCTGCGTCACGATGCCTCCAGCTTCGTTGGCTGCTACTTGCCTTGAAATTTGGGCGATGTCTCCAATGGGCTGACACGAAATTCATGCGGAAAAATAAGAAAAGGAATCTTAAAATCTTCAAGGATAAAATTAAAATATCTTCTCTCAGAGAAAGCGCTAGAACAGTTTTAAGAAAGTGGCCCTGTTCTGCTCCGGAGATTCAAGCGACATCTATGCAAGAGAAAAACTTCATTTTTCTTTATCCCAGGTGCCATTAAGCTAGATTACGTTCAAAACATACGTAGTGACGGTAAAATTCGCTTTCCGTAACGATATCAGCAACAGTCACGAACAAGGTACTGTAGTAACATAATTCTTTCATTACCATTTCGTACATTTTTACCTATTTTCCTTTCCAGCAATTTTCTCTCTACGATTATATGCCTCCCATTTTTCTCCTTGTTGATCTATTACAGGAAGACTCCTACTAGTCCTACAACGATTGTCTCTGCATAAAGAATTTTTTTTGGTCCCATAGGCCCATAGGGGTTCTTTACAACGAAGTTTTTTCTGTTACCTGAATTTCATTGTAGAGAAAAAAAGGGCGTTTTGTAAAACAGGCGGACTCTATCTAAAACAAATTTTAATTTGGTACCCCGAGTCCACCTGTATTTTAAAAGGTAAGTTTAGCTACGTTTAGTTAGACATGCAGTATTTGACCAAAAAGAAAAATCATTACCTGCAAGATTTCTACATCTTCGATCTTGGGATTCCATTTGTGCATTTCGCCTCCTTCGGTCCAGATGACGCGGTATAGAATTTCTGGCGGGGCCGGAAAAACCGCCTGAGCAAAAAAATTAAAAACATTTGACGCAACAGCTCTTCAAGAACTTGAAAAAAATTCAGCGAGTACAACGATAAAAAAAAAACTACTCAGCTGAACAATGAGTAACGGAGTCGTACTTACAGTTGTCATGAAAATTCTGCGGTTGTACTTCGGGTGAAATAAGTACTTGACAATAGTCCCAACTTTATCTTTCCGCGAAGTTTTCCAGCCATCGCGGTTCATCAACTCCTTGATTTCCGCGAGAGTTTCTTGACCTTGCTGAATGTAAGACTGATACTGAGCCTACAAAATAAAATAAAATAAAACACACACAAGAAAATAGGTTATTTCATGCACAGAAACGCTACCATAGAGATCAAGCAGTTTTCTCGATCAATGGGAATCAAAATTGTTCATTAAGCAAACATTTTTGGAACAGGAATCCCCCCCATCACATGACGATGTCGTAGATTGTGACATGCTTGGTGTGTCAAAATATTCCACAAAACGCTGAAGTACGACCCAAATTTTAAAATTCGCTAAAAATTTTAACATTAAAAGTTCAAGGTCAAAATCCGACTTCCACACATAACAAACGGTGTTCATAACGTCACTATGCGTTATGCACATACAGTACTGTATATCTTCAAGTCATATCTTTAATGCATGAGGTTCATTACTGTACATAGGTAATCGTACTCCCACTTCAGTCCATCATAAAAACGCATTGTTTTCAAAGTGGGCAGATGTCGCTGCCAATCCAAATATTTCGATTTCACGACCAAGAAATTCCCAAGCTCCATTTGATTCCAGGTTCATTTTTTTTCGAAGCGTAAGAATTGATACTTAAAATTGACTGGATACAGGGTGACATTTTACATAAGAAATGTTTTCAAAGCTTTTGCGATCAAAGCAATTCCTTCTGAGCCTTTGCTTCATATTCACCACGAATGTAGCTATATTCCCGAGAAATTTTCTCAAGCGATTTGAAAAACAGCCAATATGTATAACTTTTCCATTCTTGGACACCCCACATTTTCATCAAAGCCCAAAAATTTTTCCACAAAAATGTACGCAAATTGAACACTGCATTCCAACTTTTCCCCAGGAAAAATATTCCGATGATGACTTACCAAATCCCCTGTGAGCTGTGGAACCGCCTTAGGGTTTCTGCCAGCATCATCAGACACAGGGGCACTTGTGCTGCTAGCATCAGGAATGACGACAGGTTTCTGGATTTCCAGAGGTATTGAATTTTTCGACAAAGAACCTGACATCATTGAAAAATAATAACTTAACGCGAAACACGAACGAACAACAAGGAACACTCACCTAGAAGTGGCTCAAACTTTGGATCCATCTGGGTCAGGTTGGTCATGACGGCCATGGCTTGTAACAACACGTGAACCAGAATCCCCATCGCCGCAAGGAAAAATGTTCCACGTTCAGCAAAATTTATTCACACAATGCTTCCGTTCTACCAGGAAGAAATGAAAAAAAGCCTAGATTAGCTTAAAAAAATATGTAACAGTGGTACATATTTATATAAAAGGAGCACTTGACACTGCCCAAAAATTATTGAATTCAAAACCGAAGACGATCACAAAATGTAAACTTCAACACTTTCAGTCTCACACAAAGGAAAACACGAAGCACGAAATCACCGACTTTAGCATGAGAATGACGCCTTTTCAAATACTGTACTGTATAAATCATCTTAAACATTAATTTCCGCGGATCTCTCGCCATCACGACAGACCCTAAGTAACACTTCTAGCATTGATAAATTTTTTGACACTAGGTGGCCAATCACCTACGCTAACATTGACGGCGATCAATTCATCGAATCCAATTTTAAAATTAACTTTAATCAAACAACGGCATTCGTAATCCACTCACTTCCATTTTAAAGTCGAGATTGAAAATTTAGCAATTGACAGTACTGTACTTTAGTTTTTTACTAACAGCCCATTTAGATAACGATAAATTTATTTCCTTCGGAAGGACTAATTATGCGTGCTTTATTCACTGCTAATTTAACCCAATGGACAGTTTAGATCTTCTGGAGGATTCAAAAATTTATAAATCTCATCACTCTTGATTTCGACAAAACAATAGTTGCCCTCAAGCTTGTCGCTGATCTCCCATTTCCGAATCACAAGATAAAAACCTAGCCCAAAAAACGGCAATAAAATATTTTTGTCGCCAAACGCCGAACCCTCATTTATCTAAAGGTGAAGCAGAATTTTTCCTCGTTCTTCCGCATTTCCAGAAAATGTTCAACACCAACTTTACAATTACACGTTCACAATTCCCTGGAATATTCACATTTGTGTAGGTCTTATACAAGCGAGCAAATGCTGAACACGTCATAGTCACTACCACTGAATTCACATCTCCAACAAAATTACTCCACATGAATCAAGAGGACTTGACCACACACACACA